TTTTTTTTTTTTTCCGCCCACCCTCCTGCTTTTTTTTTTTTTTGGTCTTTTTGAGACAAGGTCTCCCTGTAGCCCCAGCTAGCCTGGAGCTTGCTATGTAGACCAGGCTGGCCTCCAGACTGGCCTCCATCTTACAGGGACTCACCTGTCTCTGCCTCCTGAGTGCTGATATTAATTAAAGGTGTGTACCACCATGCCTGGCTCTTATTCATCTACTGTGTTGGGGGTGTTGTTTTTGTTGTTACACAGCCTTCAGGTACATCAATTTATTAATATGAGATGTCGCTAAGTTTCTGTGGAGTGGGCCCTATATCTAATCAGAAAGTGGGTGGTTACCATCATTGCATTCATGTCACTATTGTACCCATGAACATATCTTCCCAGACCAGTCATTATTGTAATTCTCAGGATTGGGAATAGAATATTAATGAGGAATTATCTAGATCAAGGTAGCCTGCCTGTGGGCATGCTTGTGTGAGATTGTCTTGCTTGTTAATTGATGTGTGAAGCCTCAGCCCATTGTGGGCAGCACCATTCCCTATTCAAGAAGTCCTGAAATGTATAAGAAAGAAGAGAGCTAGCTGAGAGCAAGCAAGCAAAGATCCATGCATTTATTCTCTCTCTGCTCTTGACCATGGATATGAGCTTGAGTTCCTGCCTTGACTTCCATGAAATGATGACTGTAACTTGGAGTCATAAGCCAAATAAACATCCCCCCTGCTTTATGTCAGGGTGTTTGTCATGGAAACAGAAATGAAGCTAGAACAGCTCTTGTAAGGGCTTGTGGTAGCTAGAGGAGTAACAGATGCAGTGTGTATTTTGACTCTGACTGGCTGCTTTATTGAGACTAGATTGTACAGAGTCATGGGCAGAATTTGAAACATCAATTAAGACATAAATATTCCAGTCATGAGATGAAAATGGTGGCTCAGTCTAGGATTCTAGCTGATGAGGCTGCAAGAAGGCCTCAGGTTCTGAAGATGCAGTATGTGGTGTCAGCAGAATTGCCTGATGAGCTGAACATGAAGCATGAGAGAGGGAATTCATGGGTCATTTCAGGGTGTTTGCCTGGGCAACTGGCAGGGTGCAGTTGCCATCATTGGTTACAGGGAAAGCTGTCAAGGGTGAAGTAGGTCAGGAGTTAAATTTTGGATGCATGAATTTGAGATATCTGTGTCAGCAGGAACTCTGGAAAAATGAATGAATTGGATATGTAAGTTTGAGTTTCAGCATTCTGTCAGAGAGATTTAAAGTCAGAGGACTGAGATGAGATCACTAGGAGATAAACACTGAAAACAATAGAGTTCTGAAACAGTCTGTTCTTTTAAAAAAAATCTTGAAAAAGTAGAGGGGACAGCAAAGATAGAACATTAAAGGAAAGAAGGACAGTGAGGTATGAAGCATCCAACAGGCCTCTGTCAGGAGCAGAGAGGGGTCATTATGCTGGTGGTAAGATGACAGGATTGACAATTGGAAAGTGAAATAATAGTTGCTCAGTTAGTAGAAAAGTCATTTAAGAAAAGAATCATAAAATATGTACTTTTTTAAATTACTGTATTAAAATTATTTTGTTTCCAGGACAGCTGGGGCTACAGGGAGACCCTGTCTCAAAAGACAAAAAAATTTTTTTGTTTGTTTATATAATTTTAAATGTATTCTTTGAGAATTTCATACATGCATACAATATATTCTCAACACATCCCTCCCAACTCATGTCACTCCCCCTCCTTCATTTACCAAATTTAATTTCCTCTGTTTTTTTAAATAACTTAGTGAATCCAGTAAGCGCTGTATATGCATGGGTGTGGGGCCATCCATTGAAAATATTTTATTTTAGTACTAAAGCATACAAACTAATTCTTTCAAAAGCTTAGAAAGTCTTTAGTATGGTCTTACTAATTTGAAGTTCCATATATTCTTGGTAAAACAAAATACATCTTTGATGCATCTTCTGTGATTTGTAGTATTTGAATACTGGAACATACTTGTGGAACAAACTCAGCAAAGTGTCTATCCAGAGATTATTACAATTTTTTCTAATTTCATATAGTTATTTATACCTCAGGTGACATTTTTTCAGCAATTCCATTAAGGATTTCTAAAGTTCTCACTTATATTTCATAGCGGTAATTTTATTTTGTCAGCTTATTGAATATTAAAAATCATTCATTGAGTTCATCAGAAAGATGATTGGGGCACAAACACAAGTCACTCAGTAAATATGATTCAGTTCATGAGAACAGAAGTGCACAGGGTACTACCCACTGTGGTTGAGCCTTTGTTGGTTGATACTATGTAAGAGACTGGAAAGATCATTGAAAGCTCCAGCTGTTGGTTTGGTGGTAGCGTTGGGTAATCTAGTCCTTGCTAAGTATGTGCTATAAGCTCTGGGTTTGATTTCCCCAGCAGTATAAAAGCAAAATGTTCCTGCTCTGCCACTAACCATTTATCAGATACTCCCTAGTATTTACACATAATAAGTAGAGTGTTGAATCCATTGTGAACATAAATTAATTTACTTTCATAACAATTCTCTGTATATTTTCTCCATTTTTGTGGAAGAAATTGAGGCATAGCAAAACCAAGGCCATTTACCAAGTTCACACAATTAGGATAGAGTTAACCCTGAGGCTCAGACCCAGGTCTGTCTGACTCTCAGGGGATGATCCTAATCATACTGACCTATGGAGCTGTAACCTGACTTGTTCATGACATCATCTCCAAAGGTAAGGACAACATGAGAACTGGAGATGTAAAGAAACCTCTGATTTTCCCAGAGGTTTTTTGTTAATAGTCTGAGAATCTTGCTGGGGGTTGGGGAGTCAGTGAAGTAGAAAAGGCCGAGGATACGAGGAAAGGTAAGTGCTTCACCCAAAGAAACTGGGAGGAGTTTAGGAGACCAACATTTGCTCTAATGTAAGAGCACCCAATTTAGTATTAAATAGGAAAGCTGTCCTTTGACTTATTTTTAAACTCTTTATATCTGCTTATTGTATCCAGGCTCTGCTGGTTTTCCCTCAAAACTGTTTCAAAAGTTCTATTTCTTTTATTCTTCCACCAGACGCTCTTAAAATACCCTTAAGGATTTCCATGGGTGAGATTCAGCCAGGCAACGATGGTTCTGATGACTTTGAATGTGAAAACACAGTATGTGTCTTAAATATCCGCAAACAGACATCATGGGATGATTTTTCAAAAGCAGTGAGTCAAGCTCTGACAAATCATTTCCAAGCAATCTCTTCTGATGGATGGTGGAGTCTGGAAGATGGAACATTTAATAACACTAGTGACTCCAGCATCGGCCTTGGCACAAGCAGTGTACAATCCATCAACCTAGGTATCAGCAGTCCTGCAATGAAGAGCGAGTTAAATGTCTGAGTTTATTTTTGTTTGTGGGCTTCCTAACCTCATAGTTCATTAACTAAACACATTCACAGCTTGCTTGTGGCAGCTGCCAGTGCCCAAAACCTTAAGCATTCACAATGAAGCCATTATATGATGTAGCCTGTTAATATAAAAACACTTTATGCCTCAAATAATGTTAGAAAGTAAAGAGTTTGAAAGCCTTTGATGAAATTTTTTATTATACTTGTTTGCAGATAAGTGCAAGAAACTAACCACCCTGCAGCTGCTTGCATATGCACAGATACTAAACATGACTCCAAATTTGATCTCAGGCTGTGCCAAGCTTGCTGTGATATAGTGCCACCTTACCTCCAGAACAAGTGTCTAAATTGGAAAGGGATAATTTAATGAAGATTATTAAAGTTCCCACATGTGATGGGTTAAAGTGGTCATTGCTAATTTCTATTTGTCAGGTACCACGAAGAACTTAAAAAAATAAGGTTTGCTTTCTGGTGAGCACAGTAAGTGCTCAGTAAATTTTAGTTTTCCTGGCTACTTTCTTCCCTCTTAGATCAAAATTAGCATCTGTAAGAAATCTTCTTTGTGAGGTCTGTGTTCAGTGCTTCATGAACAGTCCACACCAAAGCCACATGGTACAACTAACTGTGTATAAAAGTACTTGCCCAAATGCACATGGCTAATGAGCAGTACAGTCAGGATTTAGATCCCAGACTCTCTAGGAGGAAAGTACACTTCCAACAGCATCATGTTTGCAAAGAATGGTCAACATGAGGAAAAGGCAATGTATCAACTTATAAGCAACTTTCTTTTGCTTGCTCATATATGCAAATTAACTTTCAGATATAGCATCACTAGCTATTAGAGAAAGTTGTTTATGACAGTTTTTACATGATTATTAAAACTATTATTATGGAGCCATTATCATATGATTTAAAAATTGCATTAGGAGAATAATGCATGAGTGATTCTCAGGAACACATTTTTACCCACCCAGTACAGTATTATTCAGAGTATGGCTCTGTGCTGAGATTTCATACATGAAGACAAAACAGCAATGTTCTGAGGGAAGTGGCCCTCTACCTGCTCAGCTGGCAACTGGTAAAGATGAATGGATATTCACCATCATCCCATCTATATGCTTTTGTGAGCAGCAGCTGCTGAAGCCAGATTGTTCCAGTGTCCATGCTTGTCAGAGGCTTGTAGCATGCTCAAGTAGTATTTTAGATCTAAAAATCATTGAGTTTGGTGGTTAAAGGGCCGACTTTAGTGCCTTGATGGGGCCAGTTCATTTTTGGTAAATATGGAATTGTTGTTATAGGTAAGTGATTTTGTTGAGTCTACATTTAAAGGAATTTCAAACCAACTGAGAAGCACTGAGATAGGTACCTGAAATAATTGATCTGAAATCCTGAAAGAACACCCCAAAATTCTGGAATCTAAAACTTTACTATAAAAGATCTCAGTGACCAGATCATAAAAATATGGTATGTTCTCCGAGGTGTTGGGCTTTGTGAAGCAGGCAGCAGAAAAATTGCCAAGTAGTTTTAAATCATGAGATTTGCTTTTGAGAACTTAACTTTGGAAATATTTGTCTATATTTTTGTTCTTTAGATATTCCATTAATTCCTAATTTTGAGAAGTTTATGGATAGAACACCTTCCTTTTGACCTTCAACAAAAAATGTCATTAGGGAGTTAGCCCCTTGATGTGACCATATGCCTTTGACAATAGAAGCTCTAGATTTGTTAGCATCCCACAGAGAACATATGTTTGCCATTATGAAAGCATTACTTGAGCTCTCCCTGACATTTTTATTTCACTTCTTTTAGGAAATATGTCATGGTCAGCTGCTCAGAGCCTCTCCCAGTGCCCATGGGACTTCATGAAGAAGAAAAAGGTGGAACAGGTCACTGCGCTTTTGTCAGGTAGTGAAGGATATTCCAACCAGAATGATGTTTAAAGAATGTGTGTGCCTCATGGCTGACTCACAGGACCAGTTGCTAAACCTCAATGATTTCATCCTGACTCTTCTAGCCCTTCACATGTGACTCCCTCAATGAGGTGACTAGCTGTTTTCTGATCAAGGGGAGAAGACTCAGAAGCCCTGTTTCTGTCACCTGTGGTGATGTCTGCCCTGCTCACTGACTCCTGCTTCTTTCATTGCCTCCCTCATTAAAAGCAACACAGAGGCCAAACTGGCATGCTGCTGGGAGTGGCGGACTGTGTTAAAAATGTCTGGTGTTACTGTCTAGTACAGTGTTTGCCTAGTATGACTGTTATAATGGTTTTCATAATATTGAGAAAATACTATTTTCAAGACTGTGTTCATATTTATGACATCACAAATATATAGCCACTCAATGGTTATAGCAATCTAGTGAGTTGTGTTTCTGTTTATTTCCAATTTATATACAAAATTAAGTCTCAGATTGATTTTCTCCTATAATTTAGCTACTAAGTGTTTTTAGTCCTGAATTCTAAAAGGCTGCTGATTTATTTTTCATATATTTTCTAGACTTAGAAACATAGTTTTAAGGAACTTAAATCTTGACTAAAAGTTTTGTTGTCTGAATTGTTTAGTTACAGAAATTTTTATAAAGTTGAGTGTCTACCCTAGAAAACTGGTTTCAACTCAAGCAGTGCAGTGAGTGGCAGAACTTGGGGTGGTAGGCAGAAGGTAAAGGGGACCTGTTCATTATTGGTCAAGTCTAAAGCTTTCGGAAGAGTGAGATTATCTGTGACAACTTTTGCTTATGAACAATGGCACACTGAACCCAGAAACCAGCAGGCACAGCTCTGAAGTTGAGGCTAGATACTAGAGGCCCTGGCTGGGACTGCTGAGGTGGGTGGGCCTCCCTGAGAGAAGCAATTGTGAGCTGGGTGCTCCCAGGTATCCAGGACAATGACTGTTTACCAACCAGTAAAAAGGTGTCAAGAGTCACTCTAATGAATTTTAACCAAATGTCAGCCTATATAAGTCCACACATATCCTATTTCTTTCATGATGTTATGAGGCATCTTGATCATCTATATTTAACACATATTTAACACAAATTTTCTTCTCTGTATTTATTTCTCACAGGTCCCCAAGAAGGCTGCCTCAGTAGTGTGACTTACGCATCCATGATCCCACTTCAGATGCTACAGAACTACCTCAGGCTGGTAGGTTGATAATGCCGCACAGAGTCTCACCCTCTGGTCTCTGCTACTACAATATCCATGAGGTTGCCCATGGGGATGAGAGTGAGAGCCCCATCCACCCTGTGCCTGGGGTTCTGGTGACTCTTTTTCCCCAGCAATCCCCTCCCTGTCAGACTGCCTATGACTGGTCTGGATTCACTGTGAGCCAGGTATTCATTTCCTCAACCCAGAGGCCATCTATGACTAATGAAGTGCTTTAATTTGGGCAGTCACAAGTTGCCTGCCCTTTATCATCAAATTACAGACATGGAAAGGAGTAGCCCTAGAGATCAAGATGCCTATGAGCTTTTATAATTTAAAATTGAGAAAATATGCTCATGATGGTTAGAATATTGACTTTTTTACAGAACCCAAATAATTATAGTTTATACAGAACCAAATTTAATTTTCTCCCATATCTACTTTGCTGCAGAGGTCTAGGGATGGGGAAAAGGCAAAGTGACAGCCCCAGGGAATCCCCATCTATTTCCCCTGCTCACTGCTCACAGCTTACAGACCAAAATTTCAGATCATGTTTCTGCTGAGCAGGCAAGTGTGTCCTGTTGTGGGACAACTATGTGCCCTGCTAAAACTAGGCAGTATATTACCAAAAAGAAGAGGATTTCTCGAGAAAAGTAGCATATTTAGATATAAAATAGACAACTAAATACCTTTCATTCCCTATATAGTGCGTGGCAGGTAATATGCTAAGTGCTTTTATGTGTCCTGTTTGTTTATAATATCCCTATGAGATTGATAGTCACTGCTTTCTAAATGAATAAAAAAAAAGGAAAGAGAAGTTTAAAAGAAAAAAAAAAGGTCACATGATCAAAGCCACATATTTAAGCATTGAAGTTGTAGAAGTCCCTGTGTGTCTGAGTGAGATCTACTAAAAACTAATACAAATAGTTTAAGATAATAAGGAAATAAAATTTTTCCTGGCTGCCTTAGATAGTGTTCTGATTTGTTTCTCCATTGCTGTGACAAAACACTCTGATCAATACCAACTTGGGGAGGAAAGGGTTTATTTGGCTTACATCTCTCAGGTCAGAGTTCATCCGGGAGCGCAAGGTAGGAACTCGGGGCAGGAACCTGGAGGCAGGAGCTGGAGCATAGGCCATGGAGGAATACTGCTTACTGGCTTGTTTCCCTGAACCCTGCTCAGCCTGCTTTCTTATGCAACACAGGCCCACCTGCCCAGGGATAGCACCACCCACAGTGGGCTGGGCCCTCCCACATCACTCAACAATCAAGAAGGTGCCCCATGGACATGGCCACAGGCCAGTCCAATGAAGGCAATTCCCAAATTGAGGCTCCCTCAACCCAGGTGTGTCAAGTTGACATTAAAGCTAACCATCACAGATAGCCTTTTTAAAAAGGAGTTAGATTGTGACCCTTTACACAAGCTCTTTCCATAAAATATAAGTTAATGTCTTTATTTTCACTCCTAATGTAGGGGGAAAAAATTACTCAAGAGCCAATTCCTGTGCTGTAACTGGGCTCAGAGTCAGAACAGGCACGTAGCATTTTTCCCTAAGGGACATTTTCACTCTTTTCTTCTTCTTTGCTATGTATTCCTTTTTGGCAGAAGCTTCCAAGTATGCCAGAGAGAGAGAGCTCCAGCTCATTCTTGAAATTAAGTGAAAGCCTAATGGTGTGGCTACCTGATTTTCAGGAATGTGAGCCTCACTGTGGGTCCCTACACTTCCTTCTCTCCAGTCTCAGCATCTCTGTATCAAACCAAATTGTCACCCAGGGCTTTTCATTCACCTTTTTAAATGATAAAATCATCACAAACCAAAACTATAACAAACTTAAAGGTCTTTAAAAATATTTTAGTAATTATATTATGTGTATAAGTATATTGCCTGCATGCATGTAAGCGTACCTGTATTATGCAGTGCCTATCCAGGACAGATGAAAACATCATATCCCCCTGGAACTGGAGTTAGGGCAGTTGTTAGCTGACATACAGGTTCTGGGAATCAAACCCCAGTCCTCTGCAAGAGCAGCCAGTGCTCTTAACCGCTGAGCCATCTCTCTGTCTTCCAGACTTAAAGATCCTGATTGGTCTTCTTTCACAACACTTCATTCCACTAAGTAGAATAAATATTTAAGTGAGCCCTGCAGAAAAGTTTGGGGTTTTGAGAGAAGGGCTGAGGAGAAAAGAGGGGAAGAATAGGAGTATGGTGGTACACACCTGTGACCTCAGCTCTTGGGAGGTCCAGGCAGGAGGATCAGGAGTTCAAGGTCATCCTCCCTTGCATAAGGAGTTGGAGGGCAGCCTAGGTTACAGGACATCCTATCTCAAAAAGTATACAACAGAAACCATCACTACCACTGCAAAAGGAACAGGTGGTCATTTCCCAATTTTCTTCCCTGTAAAGCAAAAACAGGAAGGCAGAGCCATAGAAAACTGGCTAGTTAACATCTGGTTGCATTTTATAAAGACTGAAGCAGAGAGAGCTTCATTATTGGGCCTATTGACACTATTACCTGTGATCTTTCTTGATTTCTCAAGAAAAAAATAGTACAGGTAAAAACTTAGTTTCAGTTTGGTGGTGTGGGTGATATAATTTTGGACTTTAGTATGGTCTGTTGGAGCCCAATGCAGGAACATGCTCCAAAACAATGGGCTTTTGTGGTTTTTAATTTTAATTTTTTAATTTAACCCTTTTGAGACAAGGTCTTGCATCGTTCATACTGGCATAAAACTCATGATAAAGCCTAGGCTAATTTTGTATTCATAATCTTTCTGCCTCTAAGTGCTAAGGTTGTGGGAATGTTCCATGATATCTTTCTCATGCTATTATTATTATTATTATTATTATTATTATTAATTTACTTTCAGATGTGGTCTTGTAATATATCCTATACTGGCCTCAAACTCATGTCAGTGCTCCTCCCTTTGTTTCCCAGTGCTGAGATTATAGGCATAAGTCATTATTCCCAGGTCTGTTAGAATCTTTATTTAATATAATGAACAGAAAGGCCATACAACTGGACTAAAACCAAACATTAGCACCAACTAGCCAATCTGTAAAATGAAATTCCTAATAGTCATATTAAATGAAATGCATTACTAATAATATACCTACATATGTGCATCCTGGTTAATAAGGCAGTTTGACTACCAATGATGAACAAGCTAAACTGAATGAACACTGTTAATTTTATTCTTAATTTAATGAGTGCCCATGGGAGCTTTTTAGCTCTAACAATTAACTCTTAGACAAATATAAAAAAAAATATTACCCAACAGTTTCTTCAGAACAAAGTGAATGGGGCAATCATAACTTGCAATGGCTGTAATTCCTCTTCCACATACAATTATAACCCTTTTAAGAGGAAAGACCATGTGTTATGAATTTTGATGCCCCAGTAGTCACTTAATTCAGTTGTTTGACAGTTGTGTGTTATATTAGGGGCTTTCTACATTCAGGCAGTAGTTGGAAGGCTTCAGGTTATTGATGTATGTATATAAGACATGGTCTTTGACCTCGTGGAGCTTATATTCTAATGGGAGGAGTCAATATAAAATAATAATTCTGAGCCAGATATGCATGGTGGTGCATGCCTTTAATCCCAGCACTCAGGACACAGAAGCAGGCAGATTTCTGTGAAATCAAAGCCAGCCTAGTCTCAAGAGTGAGTCTCAGACTAACTGGAGCTACTGGGAGACTATATCGCCAATTGACAAAATAGTAGTAGTAGTAGTAGTAGTAGTAGTAGTAGTAGTAATATAATAATAATAAAACTCTGGAAGGAAATGAGGAAGCAATCTATTCTGAGCCAAATGTGAATGACCATAGCCTAGCCTGGGTACCCAGGTTCAAGTTCCCCTGAATGCCTAATCCATCATGGAAGACATGACATGAACGTTTAGACTCACAAAAAATAAGTAAAAAAGTCAGCACATTTACCAATTACTTTGATAGAACATCAAGTTGGTAGACTACAGCTAAGTGTGAAAATCTCTTCTATAGATTTTATTATTATTTAATTTGTTAATTTGAGGGGAGACAGTTTTGTTATGTAGCTCAAACCAACCCCCTCAAACTCACAGAATAGCCCAGGTGACCATCAACTCCTGATTCTCCTGCCTCAGCTTCCAGAGTGCTAGGATTACAGAGAAATGCCGCCACATCTGTGTCACGTGCTGTGTCATCACCACACCCAACCTCAGATTAGGATGTTATTGTCATCATTCTCTGCTTTAGTGAGATCTGCTAAGCTTCATGATACATTCAAATAAATGAAACTCTCAGTCACAAAAATATCATCACACAAAAATGTTAATGTGAAAGGACATTTAAAAACCCAAGATAACCAAAATACTTTTGTCCTTGACATGCAATCTCCAATCTCTCCACAATTAAGACACTCTAGGCAGCCATGATTAAGCAGTTTTTAGGGTATAGACACACCTTTGGAAAGCTACAGTTCCCATAGGTTATGTGATGGCAAGAAGTAATTACATACATAAAGAAAACAAAGCAGGTAAAGAGCACATGGAAGAGGGGCAGCAAAACATCTGTCTTTGTAGATGAAGTTGGGAAAAATCTGACTACACTGACATTTGAACTGAAAACCTGGTGAAAGTGCAGCACTAGAGGCTTACAGAGGGAATTTGACGCAGAAGGAATCAGAGGCAAAGGTATCTAGACTGATAATGAGGACTGGTAAGATAGTTTTGCAGGGAAAAATGCTTATCACCAAGTCTAACAACCTGAGATTGATCCCTGGATGGACACGATGGAAGGAAAGAATTGTCTCCCCTAAATTGTCCTCTGATATCTATATGTGTGCCATGGCATGCAAGTGTGGACATGGGTGAACACACATACATACACAATAAATAAATACATAAATAAATGTATTTAATGGACTGGTAATGGAATCTGAGAAGTGACTAGAAACTGACTTCTACAGGCAGGGCCTAAGCAAAGACTTGCGATCTTATCCTAGATATGATAGGAATC